AGGGTTTTGGTGGTGCTGCTGTGTGCAGACAGACTACACACCAGAGTCCTGCCCATCATGTCCCCATGGCCTCTGTTCTTGGGCTAAGAATGTTTAACTCTTGATATCAGAAAGTCTTGACAATTTGAAATCATTTTTTGTATTTAGAATTAGTAATACAGTTTAATGCACTTTTAAGTGACAAGGAGTGCAGACCATATCTCTGGCTTTTTGTGTATTGTCTCGTTGCCCTTGTTTTATTCCTACTCAGGATGCTTCTGCAGTAGCTGCTAGAAACTTGGGCTCCTCCTGACAGAGCTTTAGAAAGAGGCGGCAATAACGAGACTTGATAACCTCAAAAGCTGTGCACAGGAAAATCATCTGCGTTTGAGCTAAAGAAAGTCATGAAATCAATAGAGGATTCTAGTTAGGTGTCTCTTGCCCCTCCATAGATGGTTTTTCATCCACAGGTAAGATAAATGAGGAAAACTCGCAGAAGATACAAATGTGTATTTATTAAGTAAGCATTTTTTCAAGTCAGGCTGATTTTTTTAAAAATTTTACTTAATATTTTTAAATTTTATTTAATTATTTTTATAGAATTTAAATCAATGTTTTTTATAATTCAAATTTCTGAATTTAGTTCCTTGTCTAATCCAATAGCATTACATGAAAATGTGAAAATGTTAGTTATTTTACTCATTGATCAGTCCCATTGCTCCATGCAACGTAAAAGTTAACTTACTTCTTCATTCAAGCTCTCCTTTGAAGGCTTGTCTAGAAGTTATAGACTATTGAAAATGTAATTTTAATGAAATGAATTGTGTTTTTCCCTTTAGCCCCAAACATACAAGTATCAGAAAATTTCAGGTGTCCTAACCAAAATAGCTAACTACAATTTCTCTCAAAATAAAGTTACTGTTGCCCATTTTTAGATGACATTTTAGAAATCTCCATTTCACAGATGAAAAGATCCATACTACAAAATTCATCATCTACTATATGCAAAATAAAGGCTTTTTTAAAGCAAAAATGTATATTTATTCAAAATTACGTTATACCATTTGTAATATTGTATTGGAATAAACAATTCCCTCAAAAGGTCAAAGGTAGTTGAGCCAAATAGTAAACAGTGTGCTCAGTATTCTTATAATTACCTCTTAGACATCTTATTTAATCTGTTTTGAAAACAAACACTACTTAGTTTGGGGAGTTTTATTTATCTTTTACACAAATATGAAAATTGAAAAACTGAATTAAGAACAAGACAAAGCTTTGAACCTCTGTTATATATAACCAATTATAATGCATTGCAACTTTTTAATATGGTTTAGGGTTTGTTCACTTCTTATCTAGGTCCCTCTCATTCACCACAAGAATTAATTCTGACAGAATAAATGCATTGATATCATTAAGGAAAAAAATATTTGCATGAAATTTGAAACTAAGTCAAATACTGACTGACCAAACACCTTCTGAATGGTAACAATGTCCACTATTTACTATAAAAGTGCATTTATTGTATTTAAGACCTATGCTTATTTGTTTTCTAATTTTTTTTATTTCAACAGTATCATTTGCACCCCTTTAAAAAAATAGTACAACTTGAGTGTTTCAGTCCAGTGCATTGCTATTTCATATTTTTCTCCTACAGTATAGGGGAATAAATTCCCACGCTCAGCACAGAATAGGTTCCATAGTATTATGTCCATGTGCCGGGCTAATCTATGGATATTTACTAAATAAAAACTTCAATTCATGAAAAAAGTTATACGCTTTAAGCCATTAAAGTGATATAATAATGTTTCAAAGCCAAGCCTCCTTATGTATTTATTATTTTCTCCCTTTCAAATAGTAATAGTGCTAACTAGTTCCAATAGCATATTGGAAAACAGTTTTTTCAACTAAAACAAAACAAAACAAAACAAAATCCTTTTCACTACTAAAGATAATTACACACACACTGGATATTTAGCCAATCCTCCATGTTTGTTCCAATATATTTTAGATAATCTGCTGATTCTTACACGATCTAACAGCCTCATAAATTTAAGATGTATCACTATTTCTTAGGCTATATAGCACATATAAAATGGAACATTTGCCTATTAGCCGATTGATGCAAAAAATGTAAATACCATATCTGAAAGTTCACACATCTTGCCAGAGCTCTGCTCCTTTTATTTTGTGTTGAAAGTCATTCTGAAATGTCCTCATAACTGGCGGCAGTTTTTCAAGTAATCATTAATAAGTACACTCCAAATAAGAAGCAAAAGAAATTATTAACCAACCAAACCAGCTAGACGCTTAGATAAAATAATATAAGATTGTACAACCTTTCAGCAGGTTTTCTTGATATAACTTCTTTAAAGGACCATAAGCATGTCCATACGCTTTTGGGTTATTTGTAGATGAAAGGGAAGTCTGTTCCTGAAGACACACTGCCATAGCTCTAAAAGTTTCTTTTTGTGAAGACTAGTAAACATGTTTCTTGATGTTTAAAACAATTCTGCATTATCTTGATGCATTAGAGCTAATATTTCTCTTCCCTCAGAAATATTACGGAAACTTCAGATGTTTAATTTAACAATGTGACCTAGCTAATATTAAAGAGAACCCAGCTGCTTGGCTTTCTTGCTTATGAATGTATGAATTTTCAGTACTGTAAAGTAAACAAGCATTTTATATGAAAACACTTAAGGAATGTCTCTGTCTACACTTACACAAACTATTAATGAAATAAAAGTAATCATGCATGCACTTCAGAAACTTGCTTGCAACACTCAATTTAATATTTGTATATTGTTTTAGCATAGTGTCATGTTTGTCAGTAACATGTTGAAGTTACTGTATTGAACTTACACAATAAAGACAATACTATATGAGAATACTCAAAGCAAGACCTCAAATATCCTTCTTCAAATTATAGCTATATGTCTCACCCTTATAATATAATAGATGCATGTATTTACTTTTTGGAAGAGAGAACAAATAGAATCCATATTCTAGTATCACTGCTTTAATCCATTTTTAAAGAGGCACTTCTTCATATTTCTCAGAATATATTTTTATGATAATCTCTTCCTTTTAAAATAGCAGTCAAAAATGTGTGCAAATATCACGGACAACATAAGGAAGTTACTTATTTTTAAACCAGCTTTGGAAGCAGCTGCCCCTGAAACACTGGAGAAAAGAAATGATACAAGAAATAGGAGGTTAGGCAGGCTAAGTGAGGGAAGTAAATGAATTATGGGCCTATTCCAAATCAAACGTGGTAATTCTTTGATGCCTACAAATTTTAAGTAACAAGGTAACTGAAAAAGAAAAGCATATCTCTCAAAATAGAGAGGCATTTATTATTTAGAGCAAACAGTCTAGTGTTCGTGTGTATGTGTGAGTGGGGATGTACTATCTCAATGAAATCGAAAGAATATAAGGGTGCTTATTTACTATGTATGTAACAGTAGACACAGCAACATAACACAGAAAATCACATGAGGAAAAAGAAAATTCCTAAACAGTGTTAGTTAGCTGGTGCTGAGGGGAAAATTCATAAAGTTGATCAAATGTTCTCTAAGCAGCTTCAAAAACATCACTGGAAATTTTTTTCCAGACTGAAAAGACAGGCAGACCGAACTAGATACAGCAATTTCAAAACACATCATTGTTGTAATTTGTTCATTCATTTAAAAATATTTTACACGATCCAGCCAACTCTCAATTGCTCATTTGAAGAAGAGCCGTCAAGCAGCAATGCCAATGCCGTTTCCAAATGTGGGGTAGGGAGAGAGTGTGAATGATACTTATAAGTGGGTAGGTATACACATAAAATATGCCTTCCAAGTTATTTTTGTATATGACACTAGCCTATGACAGGGGGAAAAAAAAGCTGGCTATGCTGGTTGACATCTGAAGCTGGTAGAATTCTGAAAATTGGCAATAACTGGTGCATATCAAATGAAGCTCATGAAAATGCAAAGTTGACTGGCCTCCTGTACTTACTTTCTTTCCATTTTATTCCAGTGCATCATATTGTCTAACACTTGCTTGTATAGTATATAAAGCCCAATGCTAAAAAATGTATGTCAAGTTGGCAAAAACGTAAGAACACCATTGGTTAGGTTCTTAAATTAAGAGTTGCTGTGGCTTTTTATTCCAATGCATTCCAATCTCTGTAATATTTATGGGTGGAGCAGAGGACCGACAGTCATTATTCTTCTGCATTTGATTGGAGGTCAGCATTTTTAAGGTATCTTGCATTCATATTTTTTATGTATATTTATGTATTTTTACAAATACTAGACAGTCCATTGGTGACACTGCAGAATCGTGTACTGATCTTGATTTTAAGATTCTTAGCTGTAGAATTAGAACTGGACTTTTTAAAGCTTTTGACTAAGAAGTATATGAAGGCTGCTACATGCCTTTATTTCTGTTGGTTTCCAAAAGTTCCTTGAGATATTTTTCTTTCAAAAGAATATTTTAATGTTAAATCCTCAGTCTCAAAAATTACCACTCTGAAAAGGTGGTAAAAATCTTGCTTTTTCACACTAGAATTTGAAATTTAAAGTTAAATTTTTAAAATGTGCTATCATTGCAGAATTTTTATGAAGTGAAAACTTTAACATAAGGATTCCAAATCTAGATTTACACTATAATATAGTATCTCAGATGCCCTCAGAAGATTTCATTATCTCTCCTGGATGCAATATGCTCTTAAAATCTTTTCTGAGAAGAAAATGTGTACTTACTGGATCATTAGGAAAATTAACTTGAATTGGGGGAAAACAATATTACTCTCCATCACCTGATACTGCCTACTGCCTTTGTTGATACCTGTTGTTTTTTTGAAGAAAAAATATATTTCACTAAAATGGCAGAGTCAAGATTGCATTACAAATTAAATTGAATTCCCTTAAATAAGTTCACTGAAAGTCTGTTTTACTATACCTCATTTTCATTAACTTTAATGGAAGTGGTTTTCAAGAGTTAGCATTGCATACAGTAATCTATAACATCTCTAAGACCATTGAATATGTGTGATTTACTTTGTAAGCCTGTCACATCGAGGATTTATTAGAGCTCAGTAAAAATATATACGTGTGTGAGAATATATATATTTTTTCAACCAGTGCACAAGAATTAGAAATTAGCCCCTTATTGGTACTTGGCAACTTTTATGTTCAAAATTAGCTGTCAAATACTATTCATGTATGAGTTCTCTTTCTCTTGTTCAAAGAGTTTTGGGGGGAAAAGTTTCTTAAAGTACATCAGACAGGGATAAAATGGGGTCTGGAATAAAGGACACATTGTGAAGACAGCAGTTTAAAAAGAATCCACTCTCTTTCAGAATTCCACATCTTAATTTGAGGAACATATTTTTTCACAAGACTCCAGGAATTAAACAACATAGAAGAGTTCAAGTGTTGAGTTTACCAGGTCACTTGCCATTTCTTGTCTCCCAAATACAAGGCCAGTGATAGTCACCAGGGTACGTTTTCTGTGAACTGAAAATCACTAGACAGTTAATGCATTTATCATAATAATTTCCTAGAATCATCTAGTTCCCTGTGCCCATTAAATGTACATTTGAGTATGACAGAGTTTCAGAGAAAACAACGAAACAATCACTATGATAGCTGAAATATGGCTTCATAGGAAACAGGGCTACATTTAATTAGCTTTAATTGTTTATGTGTCTTTTCTGTTCTTGTTATAGTTCATATCACTGGCATAGACTCATAAGCCAATCTCCCAATTTGTTACTACCAAAATTTACAAACTTGACGCGAAGAGTACATTGTATTTACAAAGAACTTGGCACTTACAGAATAAATTATTGACTTTTTAAAAAAAATCCAGACCAGGGCACCCATGGTTCAGGCAAATGGGAAAGCCTGATGTCATATATTATGCTACATTAACGTGAATCAATAAATTTCCAGCTGGTAATTCCTCCACAGCGCTGGCCCTGGTGCTGAAAACAAGTACCTTCCATTTCTAATCCATGGGGAGGGTAGAGAAGTTATCAGTCCAGAGAGAGCAAAGGTTGCATGTTTTCTTCCTCGTTTTTATCCATGCGTTTTAGCACTGTAGGATCCACAACTGATTGGGATCTAGAAATGATAAAGCCAATGTCAGTGCGTTACTGCCAAACAATCACGTTCTGTTCTCTGTCTTTTCTCCTTTATTACTTCTCTCATGGATGTGGATTAACTTCTACAACAAGAGACTTATGAACTGAGAATGCTGCACATTTAGAGAGATACATTTATGGTGATGTTTTGCATCAAAGGAAAGAATCCCCTCTGGCCTCTGAATAGAATAATGCACAGCAGAGGATTCTAAATACATAATAATAGGCTTAAGTTCTCTTCTTTACAGTCAAGCAAGAGACTTTTCTTTGAGTCTGAGAATTTCTAGTACAGGACTGATGTATTCCAAGAGATCACCAAATGGGGGAATTATTACAGTGAACTTATTGTTATAAGAAAAGAAGTAGAGATAAAAGGAGCCTTGATTCCTGTCTGAAAGGGCTCTATGAAACGACTTCAACAGGAATGTGCGTTTTTAACCATCTTTTTTTATATTTAATGAGAACTTTAGGGAAAAAATCAATATTTCAATATGAGTTTTGTTAAATTTTCCACTAACGTCTGAATAAAATCAATCTTACTCTTGAAAACTTTAAGAAAAGTAGAAACCCCCCCCTTGTTTAGTCAGCAGCACTTTATGATTAGGAAAGCCAATAATGTGAAAACCCCTTGCACATGCCTTTGATAGCAGGTGGGAATTATATCTCAGTTCCTCACTAGGAAACAACATCAAACTGGGAAGGAGGAAGGTCAATGAAAAGTGCTACTTTGGTGGCAGGAAGCTGTCATCTTAATGGCTATGGCATTAAAGAAGCAGCTGCCCTTTTAAATTCTCCTCCATAATGAATTTTGCCCCTGCTGCTGCATTCCAACCATTTGGCTATTGCTGTGGCAATATGCCTCTTCACAGACCTCATTAATTTTCAAAAAGAAAGACTATAAGCTAAAATACAACCACACGCGCTAATGAAAAAGAACAGCAATGGAACTAATTATCAAAGCAAAAATAATTACAGAATTAACTGATAAATTGACTCCTTCATTTAAATAAACAAATTCATTTCTAAAGAGAGAATGAAAAGGAAGGTGAGAACTTTAAAATAAGGAGGTTTATTTCCTAAGTCACTTTCACTATTTTACCTCAATAATAGGTATTAGATGCATATGTCAGAATGGAGACTGACTGCAGTCGAATGTGGGGTGTGTGTGTGTGTGTCTGTGTGTGTGCAGGAGAGAGAAAGAGACAGAGAGAGAGAGGAGAAATGATAATTTATCTTAGAAAAAAGTACATGAATAAAATACATTTTAACACAATTGACAATTGCACAAAGCACTTAATAATTAGACCTGTAACATTGTTTTTCTTAGACTCAACTGAAATAACTGGTTTCCCAAGATGAATCCATGCTAAAATATACAGGGGTTCATTTAATGTCCTGCACTAGAGCATTACTTGACAACGAGTACCCACTAGACTATAAATTCCATGAGCAGGGACTTTATCAGTTTCTCTCCTTGCTGTGAACACAATGCATGTCTGTTACACAGTAGGATTTCGATGTCTTAACTTTTATCCAATAAATAGTTTCCATACTGAAAGAAGATGGCTATCAAGCATTCAAAGCGAAGAGTGATGAAGATAAAGCAATTTATCCTGTGGAGAAAGAAATTCTTAACAAAAACATTTATTTTAAAATTCTCACAAAGTTAAATATATAAATGTTGAGGCATATCCTAATAATATTCATTAAGTACACACCAAAGCTCTTCAGACAGCACAGAGTGAACAATATAGTCATTTGCCATAATGTTCTATTAAAACACACACCATACAAATACACATACACATGCACACACATCGTTTAAATCCTTACGTTCCTTGACTACTTTTACTACCAAATGTAAAATAGATAGCTAGTGGGAAGCAGCCGCATAGCACAGGGAAATCAGCTCGGTGCTTTGTGACCACCTAGAGGGGTGGGATAGGGAGGGTGAGAGGGAGATGCAAGAGGGAGGAGATATGGGGTTATATGTATGTGTATAGCTGATTCACTTTGTTATCAAGCAGAAACTAACACACCATTGTAAAACAATTATACCCAATAAAGATGTTAAAAAATTTTTTTAAATAGAAAAAAATATTAGAGGATATGGCAATTTTCTTTCTTTCTTTCTTTTTTTTTTTTTTTCTTGCGTTATGCGGGCCTCTCACTGTCGTGGCCTCTCCCATTTGCGGAGCACAGGCTCCGGACGCGCAGGCCCAGCGGCCATGGCTCACGGGCCCAGCCGCTCCGCGGCATGTGGGATCCTCCCGAAACGGGGCACGAACCCGCGTCTCCTGCATCGGCAGGCGGACTCTCAAGCACTGCGCCACCAGGGAAGCCCAGGATATGGCAATTTTAATAAAATAGTTTAAATTATAGTGCACTATCCAACCTGGGATTAAGTTCCTAGTTTGCTTTTTTTAAAAAACATCTTTATTGGAGTATAATTGCTTTACAATGGCGTGTTAGTTTCTGCTTTATAACAAAGTGAATCAGTTATGCATATACATATGTCCCCATATCTCTTCCCTCTTGTGTCTCCCTCCCTCCCACCCTCCCTATGCCACCCCTCTAGTGTGGTCACAAAGCACCGAGCTGATCTCCCTGTGCTATGCGGCTGCTGCCCACTAGCTATCTATTTTATGTTTGGTAGTGTATATATGTCCTAGTTTGCGTTTATCATTCACTACAGATGTCAGAATTGTTGGATGATGAACGTTCCTGGCTCAATATGCAGAACAATTCCTCAATAAAACAAGCCAGGCAGAAACAATTTCTGATTAAGATTTTTTTGTTATTTAACTGCCCCAAGTGTACTGTTGTTTTAGTCTAGATTTTCTTTTGTGTTCTCTTATATAAAAAAACAGGGTTATTTGTGCAGGATCATAACTGTTAATAAATTGGTCTGTTTCAACTGCAATAGAGGAAGTTACCTAACATTAACTCACAGTACATCTTAGCAGTCTCTAGCCTCTACTGCCTTTCAATGAATAACTTTTTTTCCTCATGAAAACCTATAGTTTAACTTTAAGTATCCAGGTATCATTTATTCATTTATTATGTATCTACAATATTGTGCTATATCTTAGTGTTTAAGAGACTAGATTTTAGACAGAAATGGATTCCAATTCCACCTTCTGCTATGTATTAGTTCTGTTATCAAGGGAAGGCTATTTAAACTTCCTAAGATTTTGTTCCCTTATCTGTAAAATGGGGAAAATGATACCTACATCATACAGACGTATTGAGGATCAAGGGCAATAATGCATGCATAACCCCCAGCATTAATTCTGGCAGATAGCATATGGTAGTGGTTAAGGAAATAACTTAGAGAATACTATTACCTGTGTTCCAGCATTAGCATTGTAGCTTTGGAGTTATGTGAAATGTAGAAGTTACTTACCTTTTCTGTATCTGGGTCTCCACATCAATAAGATGGGTATAGTATTACCTTATTAGTTGTTTAGAAAAGCAAAGGAGTTGATGTAAACAAAGCATTAGATAGGGTTTGGCATGTAGTAACAATAGGTGTTGAATATTATTTAATAAAATGGAAGTGCATATTACCATAACAACATTAGTGTTGATGCTCACTGCAACTGTTGTGTGCCAGACACTATCCTGGGTCCTAGAGGCATAAGGTAAAAGACATTCCCTGAGTTCAAGGAACCCATTCTCTAGTGAAGTTTGTATTCTTTCACATGATTATACTATCTCTCCACAAATTTACACAGAGGAACATAATCTTCTAGCTATACACATAGCTAAATTCACCCAAAGGAACAGCTATCTACAACTCTTTGGTGAAGGAATGATTTTTCCCCTCTCAATCTAAGAATGATATAAAACTGGGAAAGGAGATGGAGGAAGGGTGGAACCTAGAAACAATTTTCTCCCATCCTTGATGGAGAACTGCCATCCCCTGCCAGAGAGAAGATAAAAATTAAGTGAAACAACTTTCTTGATCTCATTCTTCAGGAGTTTTCAAATAGAACCATATAAGCTTCATATGATACAAAAGCTACACCAAACAAAGGATGTCTGAAATTCCAGTCAGCCCATGTCAGAAGCAAGAAACTCAGGGAGGTTTGGGGAGGTCATAGTGCTGTAAGCCAAGTCTTCAGGGGACAAAATGTCCTAATTAATTGGAGAAGAAAACCAGGATCCAAAAAGACTTCAAAATGTGGATCGCCTGAACCAAATCTAACAAGATGATGTCAATTAAAATAATGTGCTTGGAGGAAAAAGCTAAACACAGAAATAAAGAATTATGAGGATAAGGATCTATAAGTAAAGAGACCCGTTTTAAGGGGTTCAGTATGAGTCAGCAATGTGCCTTGGCTGCCTGAACGGCAGCAACAGTGGCAACAACAGCTAAAGGAAGCCAACGAGGTCCTCACTGCAAAGCCAGAATTCTGGAACCTCTATGCAAGTAATGATAACGTCAGATGTCACCTCTACAATTCTAAACACTGCACCTATAAGGGGCCACTGACAGACAGCAGAGGACTCCTTCATTCATTTAACTGGTGCCTAGTGAGCATGGTTTGTGTGCCAGGCTCCACTCCAGGCACTGAGGATTCAGAAGAGAATAGGATAGACAAAGCCACTAAAGTCTCCCTGAAGCTTACATTGCAGGACAGGGGGATAAATAACTAAATAAAATCAATCATTTCACTGACTAATAATGAACTATGAAGAAAATAAAGAAGGTGATTGATAGGAAGTGTTTAGAATGAGTAGGAAGTAGAGCTGATTAAGACCTGGTGACTGAGAAAGACCAAAAGACCCTCTTGAGGAGATGACCTTTGATTGGGGCCAGCCATTGGAAGATAGAGGAAAAGAATATTCCAGCCAGAGGTGACAAGAATAAACACTCTTGGATAGGAACAAGCTGGGGAGGCTGAAGGAGAATAAAGAAGGTTGTTGTGTCTGAAAGGTAGGGGAGGAGAGAAAAGGTAAATAAACTTAGAGGAGAGAGGTAGGCAGGATCAGATCATGCAACATATTGTAAGTCTCGATATGGAGTTGACTGTATTCATTGTATAATCAGCAGCCACTTAAAAATTCAAAGCAGAGAAGTGAAAGAATCTGATTTACATTTTAAAAATATTATTCTGATTGCCACATGGATAATATAATAAATGGAAGGTAGGGGAGCAGGGTAAAGGTGGAGGCAAAGAGAGCAGGTAGGAAGTTTTGGAGGAAGTGTAGGTGATGGGGATGCAGCTAAGGTTTTAGAGGATATGGAGAGAGGTGTGCTCAGAGGAGGGGACCACATTAGTTAACAAGTCACAGAAGGAGGGGCTAAAGGAAATGAGCATTTCTAGCTGGCGAAGGAAAAGACTAAGGGACACCTATGAGAGCTGTCTCCAAATCCTCCTGTAGCTCAGTTCTACAGTGAGGGCACCCTGTGTCATGCTGTCACAGAAGAGTAGACAAGATTTATATCAACAACATGAAAGACTCTGTACCTCATGGATTGGAACCTTGTTCCATTACATATAGACTATGTGACTTTGGGGATACGAATATCTGTTTAACAAGGTTGCTGTGAGAATTAAATAAGTGAATGTTACCAAAAAAGGTAACTAGTAAGGGCCTAACTCATGAGAAGTTTATTAAAACTGGTAGATTGTAACAGTTATCACTGTTAGAATTTTAATTTTTATCAGCAGGTACCTATTCTT